CAGGCCAATTGGCTGCAATTCCACAATACCTTACCCTGGGAATGCCAAGTGCTGCCTCAACTCCTCCTCCTCCTCCTCGCTTCTCAACTACCAAGGGGCTAAATCCTGAGCTAAAACGGGGAAGTCCAGGCAGGGTTACACCACGTTGGCTGAGGAGGGTCCATCCACGCCTTTTTCCTTGAAAAATAAACTTTTTCAAGGCTAATCCAAGTTATTTTCCTAAGTGCCACCACAAACTGCCGGCGACAGGAAGCGGTTTTAATCAGTTTTATTGATTCATGCTTTCAGTCCTTACTCCGTTAAAAACAAGGCACATTAAATACATCCTCTTATTGCTCTATAAATGCATGCGGCTCATTCCGTATATCAAAAGTAATAAATAACGGCAGTAAAACACCAAGACAGTTATAAAAATGACAACCCGGCCTCAAACACGGCGTTTCACAGCTGGGGCCGGAGCAGCAGCCGCACAGAACCCCCCGTGCCAGGTGTGAGAGGTGCAGTGTGTGTGTGTGTGTGTGTGTACACACAATCCACACACCCGGCTGGATAAACACACACAGGTACGGGCACACACCTGTAAAACACAAAATAACACCCCCCAAAACATCCAGAAATCCAAACCCCACCTCACAAAAAATGAAAAGGAAAAACCTCATTACTGCCTTTCCCCCCGGCTGAGAGCAACACAAGACACTGACATTTCCCAACTCTTCCTACAGCACATCCACGGGGAAAAACCACCCAAAGCACAAAGGCACCGCTCCTGAAACCAAACGGGAGGTGATAAATAACTATTTCTGGGTTTTTTTCCCGTGCAGAGCTGCAGCTCTGGCTGCCCCCGACCTGGCTGAGCCGTCAGGAGGAGCAGAGACCCCGGCAGGGAAGGGCTGAGCTGCACAGGGAATTCCTGCCGGAGACACACGCCCAGCCAGGAGCATCCCACACCCAGCACCACCAGGACGGGAGAACAGGAGGGCACTTTGGGTACAAAGCAGGCAAATCCTGCCCTGACAGGTAAATCTGTATCATTCATTCTTAACTGTGCCGTTTAGAGAGGAGTGGAGGAGAAATTTTCATTAAAGCATACAAAATATGTTAAATATTGTAAATATTTTTCTTTATGTGGTCTGGAAAAGGTCTCTTTACTTTTATTCCTTTTTATTTTTTCTTAAATTGTTGTTAACAGTAGAATCCTAACCCCCCCCCCTCGCCCCACATTCCCCGTGTTCTCCCCCGAGCAAGGGTTGGGAAACACCAAACCGAGCCAAACACTCCCAGAATTTACCCAAACAGACCGGAAACATATTTCACACAGAAAACTCGACAGGACCACAGAAACAAACCCCTCGGCTCATATAAAAATTCTTAGATAGTGAAAGGTGCCAGCCCCTCGTGCCCCCCCAGCACGGGGCTCGAAGCAAAAGCCATACACCACC